TTTTTTTTTTTTGTTCTTTATCTGCTACAAACATCGACATCTAGCCTGAACTATTTTAGATAGCAGTCCGCTCTCTATACACGCTCCATTTATACTCACTCCCTCTCTCTTTCTCTCCAATCTCGTTCTCTCTCGTCGTCGGAATTATAAAAAAATATCAAATCACGAACAGAATGGAGACAAACCGCCGCACCTACTGCACCACCCTTTTATGTTTGCTACTTTTGTCCTCTTGTTTCACATCAATATATATCTCTCGCTTCACGTTCGTTCGTTCGTCATTTCTCCCTTTCTCTCTCTCTCTCTATCTCTCTTTCTGTTTACCACCTCCCTTCGATCTATCTATCTTGCCACGATCCTCCTTGTATCCAGCCTCGCGTCACAACTAATTATACAAGTAACGCTATATCATTATTATCGTTTATATAACATTAAGGCATTACATATTTATAAATTCTTCGTGTTCACTCGCCACTATACAGCAATACCACGTTAAACTCGTAAACTTATGCTTAAATAGACGTGAGATCGCTCGTTGCAATAGTCCAGGCTTCAAAGGAAAAAAAAAAAAACACAAGAGAAAAAGAACATTGTGTGTGGAACAGGCTCGCAAACCGGACCGGAAGTGGTCTCGATACACGCTGTCCTTTCCAAACTTAAAAAAATAATCCACTTCCTCGGAATATTTTCGCATTTCGTCTTCTCTGTATCTTTTTTTTTTTTTTTCTTTTCTTTTTTCTTCGAATAATCTACTACTAGGTTTATCTCGACGACGAAGAAATTCAATTAAATTTCACCCATCTTGATCGCGTTTTCGAATTCATTTTTTTTGTCGCGCAAACAAACAAAAAGAATTGGGAAAGAACGAATACTCGGTTCGAAGACCATCCGGTGCCAGATGCAATGCGCTCGCATTCTTTGTTCCGGTTTTTCCTTCTTTCATCCATTCTCACACAACCCTTTTGTTTGCCCGCTTCTTTCACACGAACACGCGCACATCGTACACACGTATACACACACGCATACACACACAATATCTCTTTTCTGTTTCTTTCTTTCTTTCTCTCTCTCTCTCTCTCTCGATTATCACTTTGCACGCACGCAGCTTAAAAGTCCAGCTAATTATCGTATCGACAATAAATTAGACACATTTGTCGAGGCAACGTAGTTTTGCACAGGCAGGCGGCAGGCAGTTCACAAAAAATATCTCGAAACACCATATTTTTTTTCATTTTTGTTTTCGCAACTCTATTTCCTTTTCTTGGTTTTCGAACACACTTTCTTCGGCGGCAGAAGTTGACAATTCGAAATATCGCCGCTCTCTTCCGGTGATCGCAAGCCAAGATATTCCCCTGCGACTTCCGTTGGACG